TCCGATCACTGGATTCTACAGATTGGCTTGGTGGTCTCCTGGTGTTCTCCAAAACAGTGTTGGTGGCTATTCGGGCCATTTCCTGGCTGCCTGACCAATATGATGGATTGCCGTTCTATCAGCACTCGGACATTCGCCTTGAGCAAGCTGGACTCGGTCTGCAAGAGGTTCTGCTGAGGGTCGTGGGCCGGCTGTCGTTCCTGGACTTGCTGGTGAGATGGAATTGATCTTGGAGAAAGCTGATAGATCGGCTGGGCRGAATTGTCCACACTATTTGTCTGATTGGATTCGCCACCTTGRGATRTRCCAGCAGAAMRTTAAAGCAGATGGAAAATTGTTATCATCTGCCTGACTCTTCTGTTCCCAAAACAACTGATTACAGTTTGTCTCTCCCCTACAATGGCCTTGAAGAGCTGTTGGACTAAATTCTTCCTGGATGCTGACGTCGAATAACTCATCAGTGGTSTCCTCCGGCAGCTGCTCCACTCAATAAGAMCTTTCACTGAGTAAAGGAACATGGYTTTTTGTGTGGATTTTTTGTTAGGAGTTTAGAAATTGGAAGAGAGTATATGTTATAGGGYGGTATAATGGTACARATTTGGTGATATGATACATATCATGACACAGGGGTCATAATATGATATCGCAATATATTGCGATACTGTAAGCAAGGCACTACATTGCGATATATTGCCATTTTTTCTAAAAATTCAAATAAAAAAAACCTGTTTTTTATATGTTTCATATTTCTTATTTCATTTATGTTTTCAATGGTTAGGCCAAATGTACCATTAAATACTTTGATAATATTAATAATAATATTAATTTATTATAAAAATGTGGTCACACAACACAGGCGGAACCTTGTGTGATTGACTAGCTGAGTCCCAATAGGCTATATGTTGTGGTAAGGTTTAGTAAATGGATGAAAKGAAGCTGCTACCATCTGTGTTGCTGTCAAAATTGAAGGGGGGAGCGTAAGCAYGCCAGTCAAGGCACTCAGTGTTAAACATGGTCGTTGCATTTGACCACTTCAGTACCAWCCCTCGGGGACCCCCTTCAGCTTTGTGCACTAGACAAATGCTACCTGCCTGYCATAACGTAACAGCTCTGATTGCAGGCTAAAGTCAGAATACAGGAGAAAGAGCATCCCATATGGGACACTTCAATTTGGCTTAAARTATGGGACACTCCGGCTAATATGGGACAATTGGCAACCCTACCTCAGCTTTGAAGTCAGGAGGTGTCGGTATACTCAGCTCAGATTCAGTCATCGGTATTTAGTGCTTATATTAATCACAATGCTAACGTGTGAGCTAGCATTATACTCAGGCTCCTCAGAAGTGGCGAAGCCAAATGGCAGGCTGCTGACTGCTACCATCTAGCGGTCGGTGGCTAAACTACAGCACAAAAAKGAACTGCTGCCATGAAAATCATTTTTTCCCTACAAGTTAGGCTACACTACGTTTCTTAGACTGTAGTTAGAAAGGACAAAGTTAGTTAGCCTACTTTATGCCCATTTTAGCCCTTATTAGCTTTGTTTCTTTGCCTGTGAATAGGAAGCTGGTTTGTACTGTAACAATAATCGGCCCACCTCATGGATAATAAACTGAAACAGTGTAACAGTCCTGATCCATAATGTCWACATTTCCATATGGACATAATTTAGCTGAGGATGAAGAATTCACTGTATGTGTGTCAGATAAAATGTCAGCTCCCATTATACCCCAGGGGCTATTCTTCCATCTGTCTCGCTAAGCAGTTACACCAGTTTATTCCTTGATGTACAACTGGATGTGCTCTATCTCTCTTGTCCTGACCAGTCATTTTTCCTGTCCAGCATAGACCATGTGATTCTCACCTTCTGTAAAGCAGGCCTCTGGATCCAGTGACTCCTCTGGCTCCAGCTCCACTGACTCAACACCATCTGCCGGGGGTCGAATATCGACTGTGCTCCCCTCCGATGAGCTCAGAGGCTGTGGGTCAACATCGAGCTTCTGATGGACGAGGCAGAAGATGATATAATCCCAGTTACATGGAAATACTTGGGGAAACTCAGGTTCACTGGCAATAGGAGCCAACCTTCTGAGCTGATTATCATTGTGCTCCAGTGCCACCACTGTGTATCTTAGTACAGAGTAATAGCTCTCAGAGTTGGGCTCTTTAAAGTCACCATGACTGCATCCTCATCATCATCATCACATGCAGCATCGATCAAATGTACCTACAGGCTTTTGTATTGTTTTTAATCTGATGGATTTAAATCAGATCAGGTGGCAAAGGGAGGTTGGCGTAACAGAAATGCACTGTGGGTACGTTTGATGTGACCTCAGTTTGAGGAAGAGTACATGCAGTATTTCCAGTGCATTATCAATCCAAGCCTGAAATAGTACCAAGCACAACGTGGGTATTTTCATGTCCACTGAAAAAGAACCCCAAATCTTTTTTTTCTTTTTTTAATTTCTAGTTCCAACTTATCAAGTCTAAAAGACCTAAATCCCTCCCCCTGTAAGGCCGATGAACACTTTCCTCAGTGACATGAAAACACATTTTGTTTTGTCTTTTTTTTCTCCCCCATTCCTTGAAAGCAGTGTAAAAGCTTCTTCTGTTTGTGTTGAAGTAGACGGGTAACCACATTAGCTTACCAGCAAAAACCAGTACTGTGCACTGTTCAAAAGACAGCAAGTGGTGTGGTGTATATTTCTTTAGTCCCATTTGAAAACAAAACCTTACTGAATTAGCACCCATGCATACCMAGAAAACATACAGGATTACAGACTCAGTGATTTTCATCCTTTTTACGCTATGCAGAAAAAGTCCCTGCTGTTGTCACGTTCACTGGTTACCACAGATTTTAAACCAACAGCTTAAGAAAACCACCTAAATAGCTTAATTTTGAGTGCTAAAATACATCACAATATTGTCTGCATATAGTGTGATTTTGTTTTGTCAACATGGAGCCTCCTGTCTGTTTTTTTTGTGCAAATTCTTTTATTTTATTTATTTATTTTTTTTTGGTTTCATGTCGGATCTGACTGAAGTGGGAAGCATTGGGACATGTCTTCCTGGACAGTGCAGCAGCCCTGATTGCCGTGGGACCCAGCTAATACGGCGCGGGAATGATGGAAGCATGCTGCTTGCAAGTGCATTGCTTTTTTGGAAAGTTATTTCTCGCCCACTCTCCCTTTTTTTCCCTCTCCGTCAGCAGAAACAAATCCTCTTCTGGGTGTTATTTCAAATTGTTATTTTAAAAAAAATTACTGTCATTTATTTTTTTAAAGCTTGTTTTACCTTAATGTTCCAACTTGAGATGTTAACAGTGAAACAAAAGTGGATAACACAGGCATCTTTCAACAAAGAGCCACGTCATAAATAGTGTAAACTCACCATCTCTATAAAGTACTGAAACTGCCAAAAATACACAGAATATACAAATATATAAATGGATCAATTAAAGTGGGCAAAATTTAAATTAAATTGTATTAGAGTTTAAATTCTATTAAAACAAAACCCATTTTGATCCTTGTATGTTTTTCTTCTTCACATTTTCCCCGCTTTTACTCCTGAAGCTTTATTTCCTTAGTTGACTCTCATTTTACAATGACATTTTTATTTATGTAATTGTTTGCTCATTTTAAACAACAAGTATTTGTTCTTGATGGTCAATGCTGCAGTCTTATAATTATGAGGCTATGGATTTCAGCCCAGAACTCAAGGTCTGTTGTGTGGTATCCACAGAAATACCATATTGGCTAAAGACTCATAAAACTATTTCTACATTCTCCAAACACGGCTAAAATCACAAGCAGTTAAATCATCAAGTATGCAAATTGCACAAAGTGACTTAAAAATAAATTAGTCTGCAATGGTTTCCAAAGTAATTCTGTTTAATAAAAAGTTAGCTATGCTATTAATAATTAAACGTTATCGAGATGAATTGAAGTATTGGGGACAGTTACTGATTAATTTAATTTTACATATCTACAGTATTCATACTTAAAGGCACAGTGTGTAGGATTTGTTGTTTTCAGCGACATCTAGTGGTTGAGTGGTTGACTCATCCTCCCCGGTCCTTCCCCCACCCCCACCCCCCGCTTCCAAACACAAAGGAGTTGCTACGGTGTCTCTCAGGTGTCAAAAACCTTTGATAATTCCAACCGCGATGTCTACCAGCAGCTTCAGGGCTAGTGATGTTTCAAGTGGTATGATTATGAGCTTTAATAAGTAAAATTATCCCAGCTACAATGACAGACAACAAATATTACATTTATAGTATTACAACTAAAACCGTTTTTGATGCCGCCACCGCAGTTTGTCCTTCATGAGCCTTCGTAGACAAGATGGTGGTGCAAGATGGCGGTGCAAGATGGCGGCTGCCTGCAGTGGCGACCCGCGACCATGGAGATATAAACAGCTTTTTATAAGGTAAAAATAATAAAACAAGGTCTTTGTCTGCAATGATTACATGTTTTTTTATTATTGTCATTAGGGATTATCTCAATTTCGGCTAAAAGAATTGACAAAATCCTACACACTGTTCCTTTAAACAATAAAATCAAGTAAAACAGCAGGGATGTATCTCCTCACTGTTAGCCATTGCGAAGAGTAATAAAACAAATAAAGTAATAGGAGTTATAGTAGAGTACTGAAACTAGGAGTATACTAACGTTAGTGAGCGTACGTTGTGAGTGAATGTGAACATCTACTGTATATACTTACATAGGTGATAATATAGACATAATGTAATCATAATCCCCTCCAAACACATTAAATAGATTAAAACAATGAAGCATACTGACAATTTACAATTTATTAAAATTTTTGTTTCAGACTGAAGTTGATTATTTTTAGCTGAGGAACTGGAGTCATTTTAATATAATTTTATAAAAAATAACATTTTTTAACTATATAACTTTTGTCCTCAGCTGATAAAATACCAAAAATGCTCCTTTTAACATATATATTTGAAGCTACAAGCTCATCCAACAGAAGAAATTCATATTAAAGCAGATGATTATCTCTCCCTCCTCATCATCCTCACATCGTGCAGCGTTTATCTCATTCAGTCTTCTGTCTCTGACTGCTTTATTTCTTCATGAAGAACTTTCAAATGTCCAAACTGAGACAAACACACCTCAATCTGAAAGTCCATGTTCACAAATACCAAGAATAAATGATCAAAACAACTGATAACAAGCTCTGAAAATCTAAGCTAAATGTCACCAATCAGTTCTAAAACATCTTGCTCTGGATGGACATTTGTTGAAACTGTAGCTCCAACAAATCAACAGCTTTACAAGTTTTTATTCATCCTGTTATGATTTCTCTCTCTCACTGTAGCTATTAGTAAGCTAAGCTAATAAAACAAAACACATCTGAGCCCTTTTTATTTTATCTGAGTATAGTTGACAGTGTTTCCTACAACAAACCAAGCCTTTATCAGCCTGATTCAAACACAATAACTGGATTCTTGGACAGACCCTCTCACAGTCTTGTTAATAATGCTAATGGTGCAAGCAACTATAGTTGTCTTTGTTGCAATGCTGTGCACTCCTTTTATGTCCAACTTTGAGACAGCTTCTTTTATTTGCATCAAAAGTGAATGCATTCAGAAACACACAAGACACATTATGTAAGATATAATTAATAAATACAAAAATAAACCCATGTTTAAATTTAAAACATATATTGATAAAAGGAAAAGATCCACTGTAATATGAGAGTAAATGATAAACAGGTTTTGAGGGAAAACGCACAGAAAAACATTAATAGATAAGTTTAAATATAATAATTCACCAGTGGTGGGCACAGTTAACCAAAGAGCTAGCTTCACTAACTCTTAGTCCGCTTACTAAAAATATTGATTTGCAAATGCTATACAGCCATCCATGCAAATAAATTGTAGAAGGTAACAGTAAACAGCTGAACAACTAAAAATGATCAAAAGCTAACACTAACAGCTAACCACTAAGAYGACGTCACTCAGTCTGCATCACTAACACATTCCCACTCCCGACTCGTCAACATATTGACGCTTTTCCAAGGTTCCTGCTAGGGGTGTAAGAAAATATCGATACACTGAAATATCACGATATTTCATTTCCCGATACTGGATATTCTAAAGCCCTGTATCGATTTTTAATTAAGGTTTAAAATGTCAACCTTCTTGCCAACCATTCATTTTTATGTTGTAGTTCAGTCTCTGACCACTAGTTG